TTTAATGATTTAATTGAACATTTTTGAGCACATGAAAGCATGTTCTTTAATCCTTTTCTGAGTATTGACCATTTACAAAGCAGAGAGTTGCAATGTATTGTTTTAAATGTTCCAAAATGAAACTGCACCTATTATCTCAGAATTGCTGTGTACTGAATCAAATTTCATTCAACTTCTAAACAATAAGGGAGAAATCTTGAACCTTGAAATATCTTGCAGACTTAAATAAAGATCTACTACTAATGTGATTCACAACTCAAAATTAAGTCAAAAGTTGAAAATAATTTTCCACACATAATTATGAAAGACTATGGAAAAATTGCAAATACAATGAAATGCAATATAAAAATCCTTGCACTTGCCAACAGGACAAACTCACTGATTCCGGGGTAGCCAGGGATCAATGCATTTTTTGTGATAGGATGTTGATGCAATGGAAACAGAACATATTAAAAAATTAATTTTCACATTAAGACAAACTTGAATACAGTTGCACAAAATTATTTGGGGAAAAATATTTTCAACTTTTAGCTCAATTTTCACACTTGTGCCAAATGTTTCCAATAAACTCGTAGAGAAACTCTTTGATGTTAACAGATCTTCAAGGACATATATACTCACCTGCTGGGGCTGAAACGTGCCTCCCTGCGTTACAGGTGGTCTTTGCAAAGAATGACGAACAAGTGGTGTTGTATCATCTGTAGTTAGCCCACCCTCGCTGTCCGAGTCGGAATCATCACTTGGGCGTTGTTCATCATGAGCAAAAACCTTGCGCTTGCAAACAGGACAAACTCTTCGATTTCGTGTTAGCCAGGGATCAATACACTTTGTGTGGTAGGCTGTTGAAGCAATGGAAAAAGAATAGAAAATTGCAAAATTTAAACCTCAACTGAAAAATACAGTATATTTAGCTGCATACATATATATAACACCACACAACAACTCTATCCATATTCCAATGATTAAGACATAAACCAAATATGATTTAATTTCTAAACCTAATTTATTATAAGGTTCCACATAGTCCACACTAAGCGTGCAGTCTCCATAAAAGTTCAAAAATTTCTGAGAGAAGCCCACAAAAAAGAACTGAAACAATTATCATGTTGGGATGTTTTTACAAAACTACACAGCTGATCCAATTACAATTATATTTTAAATTGATTACTGACATAATCTGTAAAAATATTTCGAACAAAAACAGAAAGAAAATGAGACTAATTAAAACAAAAATTAATACAAACAACAGCCTAAACTTACCATGTGAACATGGTAGCACTCGCAATTTATCACCCTCCACATAATCTTCAAGACATATAGCACAGGTCTCGTAGGGATCACCTTTTTGGAAACGAGCTGTTGGGATTTTACGGAGAGAGGATGATGGCAAACGGTGTCTTCGAGCTCTTCGCTGGTCTTTGATACACTTCACAACCATGAACACAAGCATGATAAGGAAGCAGATGCCAACCACAATGGCAAAAGGTAACAATAAATGTGTGTTGAAGTCAAATGGCAGTTCATCATTTATTAAAACATAGTAGCTATGATTATACGTATACTGAGTTTGTAACCTGATACCAGCTTCTTCACTGACAAATACAGCTGGGATCATTATATCATTTCCATGATCCGCTGACATAGGCACCAAATCACTTGAATGTACATTGTGAACAATAACTGCACTGAAGTTTGCTTTCTGAGCACTGCGTACCTGTGGATAATTCAAGATTTCACTAGCAACAATTATTCACAGAAATTAGTTTTTATTAGCATACCATCAATTTCTTTTTTATTGCAAACACTTTTTCATGAACAATGAACACAGATTCATATACTCAAAAACCTATCACACCAGGATCATTGGAAAACTTTTACATTCATTTAAATAATAATTTATTCACTAAGAGCATAAACCAACACACCTCACATATACTGAAATCAATATTAGACACCATCAACATATATTAGCACTTTTGCAGGGTGCTGCAATAGCCAACACACCACAACTATGCCATCAACCCCCTAGCCCACTTAAGCCACTAGGCACACCTGAACCCATGTAGTAATTTACGGCTTTCAAACTGAAGGTAAGAAATGGCTCCACTTTTTCATTTAATTGTTATTTCAACTGCATTTTACGTGTTTTCATTCTTATTTAATTCTTGTATTAAGACTCACTAGAATTACTGCCTGTAATATTACAATAGATTTATCACCCCTATTATTTTCTTTAATATTTTATATGAAGTAAATTCAAGTTACTTAATGATTTACACGTGTTTGGTAGCAGATACTTGATGACGGCCAAGTCATTGAAAGACTTCTAAAAAAAAATGAACAATGCGAGCAATGAAGTGTTTTATTCTCATATTTGGAAAGCCAACACCATGGTACCAATACACAATGTTCTATTTACGAAAAAATTTCAAGGGTAATTGGTAAGTATTTTTGCATTTTATTAATTTAAGACAAGAACTTTCATACCATAACTTGTGTTCTGTAAGTGGGTATAAATCAATTTTTGGTATGACACAACAAAATATGTGTATGAACTAATTTAATGCACCTTGGACCACTTCCCACACTCTGTTTCTTATGCCACTTAAAAGGAGACTTTACACTTTAGATCACCGAATCAAACATGCTTTTAGGAGGCCAAACCCACTCTTTTAAGATGCTTTCTACTACAAATAAAGTTTTATTTATAATGAAGTAAATTAAGCATTTTTCAAAAGCGAAAGTAAAAATCCACACCGAGTATCTCTTTTTCAAGCATTAACTGACAAATCTAAATATGTTGGTTCAAATATCAATTGTGTTTTATTTTAATTTCCTGCCCTAAGTTTGTAAGAGAAAGTATTGTAATCCGGAGACAGAAATTTGTTCGGCTGGTATATTGATTTTTGGGGGTACTTTACATAAAGCCTCAACATTTTCAAAGTTTACTTCAAAATAACACCAAATTCTTCTAGTTAACTTTGTCCTTAAATAGCGTAAAGGACAATTAAAAGAATGGCGGTACATTTTTATAGAAATCTTCAAATTTTAGAAAATTGCAAAAGTACTTACTTTTTAGGTAACTTCTAGACCACAATATTGAAGATAGAAGTTTTTCCCTTTAATGAAATATGTACTTTAAAAACATATTCAAAAAAGGGAGGTCGCAATTTTTTGAAAATGTCAGTAGTTTTTCTACATTCCTCATGAATAAGCAATTTTTTCTCTCTCAAAAAACCAACTCCTATTTTTTTCTTTCTGTATTTCATAAGGCAGGTAAACAATTGGTGTTTGTGTCATATAACTCAGTATTTTTCAAAATTGAAAAATTGAGCATTTTAAAACTAAAAAAAATTGCAAATAGATATTTTTGTCTGAAAATGAAAACAAATCTGCTCTTTAAAAAAGGTTATACAAATTTTCCAAAGGAAGAGAAGTAGTTTTTACTTAATTTCTGCTTGAAATTAATGCAATTTATAACTAGAGATGCTTCAGAATGGCACTGACTTTCCTTGTAATAGTTTTCTATTTCCTTTGGTCTCAGCTAGCTATTCGGACTCGCCATGTACTCTTGCCAGCTGCCATATATCGCTGCCCAAAATACATTCTTTATCTTAATTTTTGTTTAATTGTCTTCGTCTTAATTTTTGAATTTCCTACTAGTAGAACGGAAATATTATTTTAAGAATATTAAACACCAGTAAAACTTTCTCCTAAATGGCAATTGTCTTTGAAAAATTTGGAGATTTTTTAAGAAAATGGCATTTAAGCGCTACTGTAAATTCGAAATTTGAAGTTCTTATTCACAGAAAATGTTTGAGTTTTCGAAAAACTTCATTTAAAAACATTTAAAGCACATTAACTCAAAAATAAATACTGTTTACAAATTGCTGGAAATGTGCCTATTGCAGCGTGAAAGATCTATCAAAAAAATTACATCAGTGTAATTTTTGAAAAAACAAAAATACCCAAAAATGAACTTAATATCGTGTAAAAGGAAGCAATTAGCACTAACCATTTGAAAAGTTTGAAACAAGAATTGTTGGAGTTTTTGTGAAAATGGTGTTCGAGTATTCTGAAAATGTAAATTAAGAAATAGTTTTCACAGACAATAGTTGGGTTTTTGAGAAACTTTATATGTCATTATTTAAAGCACATTTATTGATAAATACAATAAAGAGAACAAATTGTTAGTAATGCCAATATTAAAGACATGAGGCAAAAGCCAAAAACTTACATTTTTGTAGTTTTTGAAAGAATAGAGCAAAGTGATGTTTATGTCATCTCATAGAGTACATTTAGCATTATCCCTAACAAAAATTTAAAGAACAAATATAGAGCTTATTTTGAGAAACTCTTGTTCTTGTTATTTTTAAAATTACAAATATTGCACACAATATTACTTGAAAACTACTAAAATTTCAAAAAAATGTATATGACCTTAATGAATGAATGAACTCTATGGAGAAGAAATTTTATTTGAGGGATAAATCTCAATCTTCAATTTTGTAGTTGTAGGAAGATGGCTGAAAAATCTCAAAATTTTTGAAAATTCAGAGTTAATCCTGAAAATCAGACCGTTGTCACCTTTATAAGTGTATTTTACCCTGTTTTTATAAGAAATTTAAAGAAAAAAAATTTGAAGCTGTTGAGAAAATTTTGAAATTGTTCAGAGGGCTTCCTGTAAAACACTCCCAAATTTTGAGGAGACATTTTCAAAATCCCAGCACCATGAGTCGAGCCAGAACGACTGGGCAATATCAATTTTGGAAAAAAATCCTACATATGGTTTAGTTGGTGTTCATTGACAGACGGACATTTTGAAGAAAACCCCTTTTTGCTGTATGCGATTCAAATGTAAATATCCAAGTTGATATAAGGATAATGGTTACAATGGTTAACACCTCTAGTTTTAAAATTAAGTGTACCCACTTTCTCTACTGATACAATTTTACCATAGGTTTTCAAATACAGAAAATATCCTATTGTCTACATTTTATGGAGCTATCTGTTACAATTACAATAACCACTGATTTAAATACTTATTGAAGCATTAAAAGAATGCTTTTAAAAACTTACCATATCTTCAAAGTGACAATCATTTCGTGGCACCAATACCACCCAATTTCCAAGAGGATTTTCAAGTGGTGGAGGAGGACTCATAGATAAACAATGATTCGCTGGATTTCTATATGTGAGCAAACCCTACAATCAAAAAAAGAATGCTGAAAATTTGCAAAATATCTCAAAATATACACACACATACTTTACATATACATCTTTACAATCTTTCATAATAAAATCCTGTTCACAATATAATTATTACAAAACAAAGTGTATACAAAAAATGTTTAAGTCAAGCAATAAGCAATTGTAATGTTTTATCAAATTTTTAAGTGGATTGGTCAAATGGAATGAAATGATCGCCCAGAAGTACTCTCGGTATTTTTTGTTTTTGTTTTGAAGTTTATATGGCAACGAACCTCAAATGGTATTGAAAATTATTATAAGCATACTTGTTAGTTGGCTGACATTTAGATTAGGTCATCCTAATACGGGCTACCAAGTGCTGGAAATCAGAAGAACAGTTCAAAGTTAAGCTTTAGTCTCTTAAGCTTCAATTCTCAGTAACTAATTACATACTACTGCTGCTTCATTTAGGAATCTGAGACCATAATCAATTAACACAAAATATTTCATAACTCACACATATTTTAAACAAGTTCTGAAGATAAATAGTAATTACAATTTTACCAACACCTTCTGTAAGAAAACACCCCAGAACATTTCTTTCAAGCTAAGCACTCAAGTTTGGTAAGTGCTAGTGCGTAAAAACAAACAATTTACGATGTCTTAATTCCCATTCCTATTCTCTATTTACAGATCTATAAGAACACAAAAGAGCGGTAATAGCAACCAAACCTTCTGCATTATTTTTTCATCTACAGTACCGACAATTTGAATGTACAGTCAAGGACAAGGTACATGGGTACATATTCCAATATACACAGAGCCACACCAGTGACCCTATACATTCATCAAATTTCACATGTGTTCATACACGTGTTTAACAACACCACTCCTTTCCTATGTTCATGATAGAGATTGGACTTAGAGGTACGACCTGCTTTGGTTAGGAGAGGAAATAACACAATAAAGCAGAGATGCAAAAGTCCTCCCATTGGGGCTCAATGCTGGAAAGCTGAACCTGAGAAAAACAGGTAATGTTGATAAAATCTGGAAAGCCCAAGAATGCCCTTCACTCGACTACTCTTTATATTTTAAATTTAGGAAGACCAGGTCAAGCCATATCAGGACCGCAACCAGGAAGACCATATCATGACAAGACATTCTGGCATTAAATGTTTGAAGTGTATCATGACTAACAATGACTGATCTTAGGCATTTTCTGAGAGAGAAATTTAAATTATGAATATTCAATCATGCAGCAATAAATTCTGGCACAAGAGAACGTCTTCCACCACGACTGGGCAGCAGCCACTACCCTTGAGGTGCATGACACTTGGGGACTTGTGCAAACCTGAAATTAAGGGAAACTGAATCGTGTAACTGAATGTAACCCAATTCAAAAAACTCAATGAATTAATCTACCACTCCCCAAAACATAATAATAAAGAAAGCCACACAGACAACAACAACACCCCACCACTACCAGCTGTTTCACTCTTGATGGTGCTACACCTCAAGTCTCATTTAGTGAATGTTACTCTGGATAACAGTTGCTGAATGTTATGACAAAGAGTTGGAGCAGCAAGAGTGGGATCAATTGGAGGAGATCTTTGAGTTGTTTGTTTTCTATGCTTGATAATAGAATATCTGATAGATCTTTCAAGATCTTTTCGATAAAAGTATATTTATAGACATAATTTTTTAATTGTGAACAAAGGCTGTATTAATTGAACTGAGGGAGTGCGCTGGTATTGAATATATGAAAATGGATTAAGTTATGCTTACAGCAACACTTTTGGAAGAATAAGTACTCGAAGATGTAAAAGAGTGCAATGTCCACTTAGAATCCAATGCACCACATGTTGAATACCCCTGCTGTACCTCTTTATTCACCATGCATTTTATGATTTATATTCCATTTTTCACAAATAATGCAAGTTCTTCAAAATAACCCCAAACAATACCTTTAAGATGTTCAAGGCAGTTTTTCCAACTTATTCACAATGGAGCCATTCCATGTCAAATTGCAAAAAGATCAAAATTTGATCTTCATATTTTGAATTATTTTCTATTCATTATATGGATCAAGTATGTTAAAATGTGTATTTTTAATTTTTCTAACATTATTTTTGGAAATAATACATGATGAATTTTGCTAAAAATGACTTGCTTCCCTAACTTTAAAGTATCACATACGTTGATACACAAAGAAACTCTATTCATATTCTATCCGAAACTTAAAATCATATTTTAATAAATTTCACAAAATATTTATTATTACGAATCTTTAATTTTATAAAAATATTTAAATTTAAAAATTGAATATTCCTGTCAATTCAATGAGCTAAATATTTTTAAAATATTCATAAATGCATTAGAGAATGGTTGACAACTCCATAAAAAAATCAAAGCAAGATCTAAGAAACTTTAAAAAACATGATTTTTTTACAGACCAGCATGAATTAGATTGCTGCTACAAGTGTTTGTTGCATTACTGGCCTGCAGTTCCTTTCAATGACGCAGTAATTTAAGTACTTCTTGTAGTGGTGAAAACTTTATGATTATATTTGGCTCTTATTCTATCATGGATTCCTGACTTACATTTTGAAACATTTATGTCCTTCAAATATACTCAGTTACCATCAGTGGCAAAAGTAAGTAGTTTCAATGTAGCTTCAGTTGGTGACAAAGGAGTGAAAGAACATATATTTAAATGTCCAGTTATTGGAGGATTGTCTGTATCCCCAAAACAAAAAATAAACAAAATATTTCTTTATGCCCAATTAGTTTCTTCAGCATTGTAATTGGATCCTGACCTGGTTGTAGACTGGCCAGTCTCTTAACAGTTCTTCCAATACCAACACATGGTCTTTTACCATGTGACAACACAAAAAATTGCTATTCTGCACAGGTTCCAACATATTTTTTGTGGAGACAAATATTTTATTATATTTTTTCTTATTTCCGTATTGTGCACTTGAACCATGGAAAAATAAATAATTTTCTGACATGAATCTCAGGTTCATGAATCTAATGACTCCTCTAAATCAAGTTTCACTAGTAAATTTCTAATTACACATCTTAGAGATTTTCTCTTCTTAAAATCGTGATCAGAAATATTAAAAGGATTGAAACATCTGTCCTATCTTGCACAGTGACTGCCACTCATGTTGTACAGCGAACGAGTACATACAATTCACAGTACAAATTCTAGAACTTTTCATTTTACTCATGGCCCTTGAGAAGTGGTCTGCTGTATTTTATGAGCAAGGTCAGGAGGACACCCCATTCCTAGAATGCAAAAGGACCCAGCAGTTCAATTCGTTTCGCTAACACAAGGACAAGCAGTAGTTGAATTTGTTTTGCTGTCACCCATCTCTTCTGGGAGCAGAATGATCACGTGAGACACTTATACTTCTTGTAACCCTATTCAGGCAGATGGTCATTATTTTTATGGTTCTGCAGCTCTTGAGACCAAGACTGAGCAAACACAATTCATTAGTGCATGGGCAGGGATAGCACGCCCTTATACCTACAATTGATTTTTTAGAACTGTATGTGTGCAGTGCCCAGTCTTTTTGTTGTATTTTCTAGAAAATTGAACAAGAAATCACCTATATTTTTTCTTTAATTCTTTATCTAATAGAGTTCATATTAAAATTTTCATTTTTTCAAATTATTACAAATTTTTAAATAAAATATTTACTTTTTGAAAAATTCATTTACAGAGGAATAAAACATTTCAGAGCATGAAATGAAACAAACCAGGAATTTTTTTTATTAAGTACATTCAGAGCAACAATTGATCATATTTTGCTAAGTACATGAAAATTCCAAAATTTAATACAGGCATAACTACACAAATAATCCATTTTCAGGTAAATAAAAAAAATCTCTTTTTTTGGATGTACAGAGGTAAGGAAAAAAAATCATACATAAAAAAGGTATTGTCAACTCTTGTGAGAGTTTATTGGGAATGGCTGAATGGAGTTACAGTGAGCTAATTGCATTTTATTTATTATCAATATTACTAATTTCCTATGTGTGACAGAAATTAATAGGAAATATATATCCTCTGATCATGTCCAAGTCTATGTTTTTGTTAGATATGCTGGAACTTAGGGAAAATTTAAAAACAATGAAACATAAACATTAGATTTTAACTAAAAAATCCAAATATTTGATTGTATGATTAGTCTCATATTTGCATACAGACTGAATTCTCATAGTCAGTGCTTCTTTTGGCACAGTTAATGTCCTGCATCAGTTAAGGCTCAAGGTATGGGTCACCCACAATTAAATATTTGCTATTCATGTGTTGCACTATGGAACAGCAGCTTTTTTAATTTCTTGGTATGTGAAGGGCTGTTGTAGTGAATGTACACTATTGATGAAAACTGTTTTTGTCAAAATATTTAATTTATTGCAGAGGTTTGGAGGGTACTTTATTTATTGTTCTTGAACAGTGTGAAGAAAGACTAACTTTTACTCCAAATATCAGTTAAAACTATTGAATGACAACTCCATGAAATCTCTACGCAAGTTAACATTGGTAAATAAATTAAGAGTACAACCTGATGGGATAACTGATGATACATATGAAAAATGCAAAGCAGCTTACATGAAGCAGCTTTTAAAGCTTTGAGGGTAGAGAATAATGAAAAACCTAGGCAATATTGGTGGGATAATAAAGTAGAAACTAAGATAAAGGAGGAAAGATATTATGAAAAATGCAACACAAAATCTGTACAACAGTTTGAATAGAGAGGTGAAAAAGCTGGTAAAGAAATCAAAAGATGAATGGTGGAATAAGAAATGTTCAGAGGTGGAAGAAAACATAGGTGGGACACCAGAGTAAAGAATCATGGAAACTTATAAAAAGTTATGAAAACTTTTAATGAGATTAGAAAAAGAAATTAACAGAAAAGTGATATTACACCTGCTAATGACATAGAAGACATAAGTTTGGGAGGTTGGAGGGCGATTGGAGGGTTGACAAAGAACTGGATCAAAAA